GAGAGAGAGAGAGAGATAGTCCGATTATTCCTTCGCCTGGCGGATAATACACTATTGTTTAACGAGCTTTTATCACGATTTTGAAACCTGATTGCGCTTTTGATAGCGAATAAACGATGTGGGGGAGAGTGATGATGTTATATTCTAAGTTGCCTCTACTTTAACACACTTATAACTGTTACAGTGATCCTATAACCAGCGCGAAACTACCGGGAATCATACTACTCAATCGCCGTTGACGTCATTATTCTGTATACACAGGGTGCTCTCCGATTCGCTCTGTAACTTCCAAATCCGATTGGGGAAACTAAATTATTCAGAAATTACCCTATGCCATTTCATTATTCAGAATGCGTCGAGATACGCGGTGAATAATGAAGTCCTTTAATTTTAATACACGGTCGATTTCTGCTCAAACAAATTTGACCGATCGTCATTCTATGAATTTTTAATATTTGATATTAAACGCTTTTCTTGATTTTAAATTAAAAGTGTAAAGGACATGTTTAAAAGCGCGTGGGAAAGCGCGAAATGGGAAGTAGGAACTGAATGAGTTTATGCAGAAATGAAATTAATTTTAACTTGTCAAAATTGTCGACTATAGTCGACAGAAATTACATGATGATTTTTTTAGACACCTTGTATATGGCTATAAACGCCGGACGTACGATACCAACGTTTTCGTATCTTAAAATGTTCGGCAGGTTGATCCCGTCGGAAATAACTTATTTACGCGAGGCACGAATTATTTAACGAGAAAAAAGTGAGAAAGACAAAGAATATAGAGTGCCACGTGAAAAATGTCTGTCAGTAACAAATGGCCTCATTTATTTTATAATGTAATTTTCGAATAATGATTTATTTTTTTTTTTATTTTGTTACAGACTCGGTCTGAATTTTAACTTTAATAAACTCGAGAAAATATCTAATTACATTCCTTTTGATATTTCATTTGCCTGATGTTATTATAATGAAAATTTTTCTGGAATAATAAAATCCCACACCGTATTAGTCTAGGCAAATTTCTTTTTTATTATGGCAAAAAATTCCATTTGATATTTATAATACTTCTCATTTATAATTCTGGTTTTGAAGACAAAACTGAAAGCAAAACATTTATATATATATATATATATTCTCTTTTCCGGCATATATTAATGCCCAAGGTTTCATTTGGAATTTTCTTAGTGGTGTGGGAAATTTTGTGGTCGACGGGAAATTCTGCAGGAAATTTTCGCACATGCGAGGGCTGATGAACGAGCCGTTATATTGCACAATTTATTAGCTATTATCGGACATATTGCGTGTACGGGCCATGTTGCGAGCTTCTACGTCGCGCGAGCTTCCGATGGGATGGTACGTGATAAAGCCATACTATAGTAGAACATGTATATCCCATTATTTTATAATTTGTTACTTTAAAATTGCAGCGCGATAAAATATCACAGAAATTCTTTCAAAACGTACAAAAAAAAACAAATACAAAACAAAATAAAAGACTTATATCTCTTTTTTTTTTTTTTTACTTTTACGTATTCATTTGCTTTCAAATTTATTAAATAATCATGAAATATATTGCTAGAATAAATAATCTTTATTGCAATTATCATTTGTCTAATTTCTTAAATTTTATCTTTTGAAAAATTATGTTACAAATTAAATTGTTAGTAAAACGGAGAACATCAGGCGAATTTTTTATTATAATAATTTTATATATTGTATATATGTAATTAAAAAGTTTTTATTATTTTATGCGTATAGTTAAAACATTTGGATTCTGATTACACAGTGTAATTTTAATAAAATTAAATTAATTTTAAAAATATTTTTAATAATATTGATAAGTGAAAATTGATAAATGGAAAATATTACTATCAATATCTAAAAAATAAAAATATCTGCTGATAAATTATCAAGAGATATCTTAGTACGATTTTTAAATTTTTAGTCCGTTGATAATAATTCAAGATGATGAAAGTGAATTCATGTTTGCCGCTTATATCGGATATATACATAAATATGTGATTGGTAGCTATCAAATGTTACGTCAAGGTTAGCAGGTAAGCACATCGTGCTCTTTCTTAGTGGTTTCATAATGATTTCAAGTATTTTTAATAAAACGTGGCTGGGAATTGTATAATTTAATTGAGTATTTATTATATTTTTATACATTTATTACATTTTCGTCCCTTTCACATTTGATATGTAATTAAATAAATAATAAAATTCAATATCTATCAGAGTGTTGTCATTGATCTGTCGAGTTTTGAAAGTTTCCTGAAGATTATTGACGTAAAATCGACATTTTATGTCGCGTCCAATAATGAAAAGTTTCAATTTTCTCCGTTATATGGAAATAAACTGTCCGAGTTTTAAGGAGATTTTAATGATCTGAGTTTTTCTAAGTTTTGCCTTGAAGAGCAACCACCACGACAGGAATGACTTAACGAAGTTAGCGCATAATTCCGCGTGATTAAACTATCCCAGATTAAGTTAAAGCTCTCGCAACTTCGTAGAATACGAATATCGATCCGAGAGTCGCCGCACTGAACTTCGACCGCTCTCCTTCCCCTTCTGTAACCTCCAGTTAGAATTTTTAGCGGCGGAAAAAATTGCGCGACGGGAGTAAATAGTGTCTCGTAAAATATTACGTTAATGAATAAGTGCAATAGTAAAATTTTATAAGATCACAGATACAATGAAATCCCTTCAATTTAATATTAGTATCTATCATTCCATAAAACTATATTATCTTATAATCAATAAAAATAAAAATTAAAACTAAAAATATTTTAAATAATTTAAATACATTAACCAATAATATAATTATTTCGTAAAAGTATGTGATATAAGAAATGAATAATTTAGTTTTAAGAAATAATATATAAGACATATTTTATAATTCTTTTACATTGTATAATAATTTTAAAAACTATTATTGTAAATGGAACGAATAATTAAATTTATTATTTTAGATTTATTGTAATTTTATTATCAGCTTTTTGTTAATTTATACAGTAAATATAAACGCTTGATATGTATTATTTTTTATATTTCAATATATATATATATATATATGTGTGTGTGTGTGTGTGTGTGTGTGTGTGTGTGTGTGT